GGGGACAGCCAAGTTGTTGTCCTTTAGTCTTAATTGTGGAGTGTGCAGCAAGCTCAGCTCCAAGTCCAGTTGCCATCCAGCTGCCCGTCAGCAGCTTGCAGCTGCGCAGCTCAAGGTGCCGTGTTCAATCTTAGTTGCGGTGGGCATAGCCCACCATCCCATGCGGGAGTTGAATCGGCAACCTTGTTGTTAGGAGCACTTGCTCTCACCAGCTGAGCCATCCTGCCACCTGTTGGCAGCTCAGTGGCAGCTCAGCTTGGGCGCATGTGAGAATCGAACTGTTGATCCTGTTGCTCAGAGCTCACGCTCTTAACCAATTGAGCCACTCGGCAGGCCTGCCAGCTATCCTTTTAAATGAAGGTGTTTCCGAGTTTTCATCAGTGACTCTCCCCTCTCATTCCATACATTCTTCTGTATACTCAACTTCATCTAGGCTTCAACTAATAAAGTTAATGATTCCTAAATCTGTATGTCAATTCAACTTTCCTGAGCTCCGGAACCAATTTTCCAATGACCCAGTGGTCATCTCCACTTGGATACTCCATTAGCACTTCAAACCTAACCCACTTAAATTGAAATACTCAACCTCTCCCTTCCCACCCTGTAGTTTCTAACTGAATCACTCCATCTTTATTCAGAAAACACTATCCTTCATCCACTCCACCCCTGGCCCCATCAAAACCAGTAATCAATCAGGCACCAGGTCCTGCTGCTGCTATCAGCTCAACAGTCCTTCCGTATATCCCATCTTTTCCATTCCCATTGCAGCTGCTCAAATTCACTCCAAAAGCCTCCTAACCATCCCTCTTCTTCCATGCCATTCTCACTCCAGGCTTCAAGGGTGATCTCTCTGAGATGTAAACTCAAGAATATCATCCCCTGATACAATCTCAAACTGTTCACTAGCTGTGGGGTGAAATCCTATGCAGTGCAGAGTTCATCATCACACCTCTGCAAATCGCTCCCCTCACACTCAACCTGCACAGCAGATTTACCAAACTACCTACAGTCCCCCAAAGACCAAATGCCTTCACATTTCCACGCCTCTGTAAATACTGTACTGTCTCCTCTGTCTGAAACAGCTTTCTCCCTCTGGTCTATTATTAACTGGTTTACTCTGATTCATCCTTCTTGACTCATTTCAAGGCAGCTTCTCTGTGAATCTTCCACGACATCTTTACACACATTTACCTAATCACATGCCTCAAGATATTCTAACTGTTCCCATCTGTATATTCCCACCAGACAACCTACCAACTCCTTAAGGATAGGAACAGTTTTATCTTAGAGCCAAGATGCTCAAGTTCAGTGATGACACAGAAAAATACACATATCCTATATGATTCGATCCAAATAGTATCGTGGATTCTGACATGCCTCAGCATAGTGCGAGCCTTATTCTTAGTGCTCTTAGAGATGAGAGCAACAGAAGTTTTGTTCCACACTATGGAAATGGGGTCAAAAAGCAGATCAACACATACTTTCAGATACCCAGGTCTCAGCTGACAGCTCTCCAATCAGGTATTACTGACTTTCTCCTCCTCCAACAGTTGCAAAGATCCCCAGAATGCGCAAGAATATCACTGTTATTTTATATCTGAGAAACTTGTTTATATTCAAGAATTCAGGAACTCTAAACACCTCTCATCTGCTTATATTCTTCATTATCGATATACTTTAAATGGGTGTATTGACACAGATCCCAACATTTAAGAAAAATAAAAAGTAGCTATTCCTCACTGAGCCTTTTAGGACTCTTGGCCATGGTCCAATTAAGTGAACCCGTAGGACTAACACTAAACCTGATACTTATCTATAACTCTTACAGCTCAGATTTCATTGTTTTAAGTCTAAGAGACCATCCAAATTTGTTTATGACACAGTACTAGAACTATGCTATTATTTATTACACATACTAAATACTTTTTACATTCCAGGCTACTGTGCTGTGAGCTTTGAATGCATGACTTACCCAATCCTCAGAGCAACACTGAGGCAGGCATCATCTGAGCTTAGGAAGGTTAAGTGAACTGGCCAAGGTCATAGCAGTAATTGGCAGAGCTCAGATTTCGGCCCACTGTATCTGACTCCCAAGCCCCTGCCTTAAACCACTAAACTAACTTGCTTGTTCTTTGATATTTGTGCTCCCTAAGGGACTATGCTATCACCTAACAAACCTTAAATATCTACTGTGTTCCAGGAGCATGGCTTTGGCATCAAGATTACAAAGATAAATGAGACACAGTCCCAGACCTCAAGGAGCCGCAGCCTGGCAGGCAAAGGCATGGGTTCCAGGGATGCTGTCTGGGTGCAAATCCTTGCTCTACCACGTACAGTGTGTGGCCTTGGGTAACTTACACCTGTTTCCTCACCTCTATCTTCTTTATTGGGTAATGGGAACTAAATGACTTAGTACCCATAAAAACACTTTAAAACAATTACCAGTACATAGTTAAGTGTTCAATAAATGTTAGCTGCTATTAATACTATTATTTTTACGTCTGCTGCTGCTATTACCACCAACAACCAATGAACTGGTATTTATAATAAAACAGTATGTGAAGGTACAGTAACAAGGACACCAAAGACAGGTACAAACAAAGCCTGAGGGTGGGGAAAGGAAGGTGCTTAGGAGAGGAGATACTGAACTGCGCCTCAAAGCATGAATAGGAGTCAGTGATGCTGAGAAAGGCGGGTAGCAGGGAGGAGAAGCGTGCCTTTCAGATAGGGGAAACAAAAATCTTTTGGTGAGAAATAAAATGATTTTTCTTCAGAGAAATACAAAAAAGTGCATCTGTGTTGCTATGGTCTCTGAAATAAGAGGAAGAATATGATGAGACATAAGACCCAAGAATTTTGAGCAAAGAAGCCATGGTGGGACACACATGAAAAAAACATAAGATTTCCCTGGCATCTGATGCCTGTTGAGTATTTACTATATACTTATTGAATTGAAAAGTCAGCTTGCAGTAATTTGGCCATTGGCTTAAGGTTAACAACTTTGGTGACACTTTTGAGGATTATAGCAGGTTTTATCCAAAATGAATTTACTCAGAAAGTCGCAGCACAAAAACGTTATAGGTTAATTATTTTAATTTGGATTTAAACTCAAAGCACATGTTAACATTTAAACCATTTGCTTTGCCTGATACCATATTCTCAATAAACATCATCAGCACAAAAGCCGCATACCTGAGTATAAGGTGATATAAAACTCGTGATGCATACTAAGCCAGCATCTGCAAACAGCTTAGCAACTTCTGCAATGCGTCGCACATTCTCTTCTCTGTCTTCAGGACTAAAGCCAAGATTTTTATTGAGACCTTGACGAATATTGTCACCATCCAAAGTATAGCATGGGATCCCATGGCAAACCAAGTACTCCTCCAAAGCCATGCTCACTGTGGTCTTCCCTGCTCCAGATAAGCCTACAATTAAACAGTCCACACAGATTCCATATATAAAGTTAGAAGGACACCTACTTAATAAAGAATTTTAATATAGGCTTAATTACATTCATTATTCATAGCAGCTTCTCAGTAATAATAGTAAAAATATTTCTCTATAACATTTACCTCTAAGCTAGAAAAACATCTATAATTTAAATATAATAAGCATTTATGTTTTTAATAACACCTATCTAGGCCCAAAGTCTTTCTGGGCATCACCGATGAACTTCAAAGGGCTTAACCAGTTTTAGTATTAGACAAGGCTGGGTAGCTATTCACTTTGTCTTCTTATTACCACTATTCTAAAGCTCATGCCAATTTGAAAACAAAGTTATATGCCCAAGTTACTTCTGACAAGAGAAGAAAAAGAAGGGACAAAAGTAAATGAAATATTAGAAATTACCTCTATAGCTCAGGCTCATTACCTCCCATAGATTAAAGTATTTGGGAATCCAATTTATGATATAATTAAGCTTGAATGAATATCATCATTACAACTCACTTTCCTCTATCAGTGATGTTGATTCAGTGAACAACGAGAAGGAAAGGAGAAGGCAAGAGCACATTTATGTACTAATACTCGCCACCTGGGTGACTGGGTAATTACTGGATTCATAACTAAAGCAATTAGGCTGGCCGAGTGGCTCAGTTGGTTAAGAGCTCGCTCAAGAGTTTGAGCTCTGAGCAACAGCAGTTCGAGTCCAGCCCGAGCTGAGCAGCCGCTGANGTCCTCCACAACTAGACTGAAGAACAAAAGGACAGCAACTTATCTGTTCCCCTTCCCCCAATTCCCCAGCGCTGTTCCCCTCGCCCAACTCCCCAATAAAATCTTTAAAAAAAAAGAATTCTTTCTATGGCAAATCAATATGTTGGAAACAGCTGAAGTATATCGCTCCTGAAGTGTGTGTTAGAATCAGTAAATTTGAAAATAAGTAAATATAAATTAATCAAAGCTGAAAAATGAAGACAAAAAGAGTCGAAGAACAGAGCATCTAAAAACTGCGGGACAATATTATACTCTCTAACATTTGTGTAACAAGTCCCAGAAGAAGAGAGAATTGGGCAAAATAAATATTTGAAGACATAATGACCAAGAGCTTTCACAAACTAATAAATAAAAGAACAAACCACTAACCCAAAGAAGGTCAGAAAACTCTAAACTGGAAGAAAAAAGACCCAAACGTACTGAAAGACCCAGACACAACATACTATAATAAAACTGTTAAAAAACAAAGATTAAAAGAAAATCTTGAATTTGGGCCAAAAAAAAAATATGACAAAGAAAGGAACAAAGAAAAGAACTGCATCAGACTTCTCATCAGAAACAATGCAAACAAGAGGACCACAAGAGCCTTAAAGTATTAAGAGAAAACGTCTGTAAGTACCCTCTTTGATCTTCTCTTACCCGTTCCTGCAGAAGTTCCACAACCTGCTGCACACAATCATTTACATCACAGGAGTCTGTTTTCAGCACCAATTCCGGGGCCTCGGGTTTTTCATATTCAGAATCAATCCCGGTGAAACCTAGAGAAGGTACCATGCAGTAACAGAGAATGAAAGTTAAAAATAAATTAGGTTTGCTTCTTCAATGCACGTTTCTGCTACATTGAAGTTAATATTTATGCTGCTCCCTCTAAGGTACAGGCTTAGAGTATTGAAACTTCTTTCTTGGGAGAAGGCTTCTAATTAAACGTTTGTTTCTTCTTTAAATACAGTCTATTCTCATTATTTGCAGTAGGTGTGTTCCTTAAAGTTGCTGCACACACTAAATTAGTTGATCCTGAATGCCACTGCTCCTAGGGGAAATACAGAGTTAGGTTCCTACAGCCTCTGGCAACAAAACTTTTGCCAACTGACTAATATGTAACTATTTTGCGTGTGTGTCTGTCTAAAGCACAGTATTTAATATACACTGTTCATTCCTTAACAGTGAGCTCCTGGGCAGCAGCGCTCTAACTCATGCCTGAAGGAACGAAGCATATCTAACACACATATTTCTCCATCGGGCAGATGGCAGCCTTCTTGCACTTCGGAACACTGGGCTGCCACTCCGCACTATGCCTGGGACCATTTTAAACAGCAAAATCATCAAGAAAAAGCAGAAATTTTTTTTAAAAATGCAAAAACCATGGCATCAAATAAGTTCCAAAAAGGACACTTCTTTACAGTATGACCAGTGAAACACAAAGATCAAGTGTCACCTTGTTCGACTTCACTTAGGAGTGTGTGCTCTGGGTGACTAAAATTTTCACCACTCTGCACATGTCCAAAAATGACTGCCAAAGCATTGTAAGGATTCGTGTGGGCATTACACATAAACTTTTGTTAGCCAATTTGCAAACATGGTATCCTCCATGAATGAGGATCAGCTATACTTCCGTCATCTTTTTTCTTTCTTTCTCCCTTTTAAATGCCTACACTGCCTGTGAAGACATAGGAACGAACACTCCATGTTCCAGAGCATCTCATTTCTCCACAGGACTATAAGATGTAGTACCTAAGCCCTGGGAATAAAACTAAAATTGACAAGGTTTTTTCCTCTCAATGCGAAAACTGACTCCAAGTCCATCTGTCCATTATATTCACAAGGATGATCTACAGCTGCAATGAAGCTCCACCGACTTCTCCTGCCATCAGAGTGAGTGTTCAAACAAGACACATTTACTATTAGCAATCAAATATAATCAGTGTAGATATTAACCACTGAGTACTTTGATTTTCCCTATTGTATTAGGTTGTCAGAAAAGTCATGACGTATTTTTTCTATTTTTTGTTGCAAAAATGTGTCATGACTTTTCCGACAACCCAATGTATGTACTACCATGTAAACTGCCAAGAAACGAAAGAAGATCTGTTTTCCCAGCATGGGCTGGCTGAGCTGAAGATGTGCAATTCCTGTCTTACACTCCAGACAGTATCCCATGCATCAGTCATGCCAGGCCTGTCTCCCTTGGACTGCTTAGGTCACCTGTGGGTTAGGATGATAAGTATGAATTTAAGGTCATTACTATTAAGAGGTACAGTCCTCAAAAGAGTTGTAAAATGCACGCTACAAGTCTTTAGCCCTCTTATTTTTTTTTTCTGTTTCCTATTTCTAAGTATCCCATGAAGTCCTGAACCCAAAAAGAAATTTCTGCATTACCAATGTTCCCAACAGTATTTAGTGGTGAGTCACAACAAAATAGCTGGGGCAAAGTAATTCTGGTTAAAACACTCATTCTTAAGCTCTGATTCTCAAATGTAGCTATACACAGAATCACTGTGTCCCAGGCCCACGCCATTCTGATTTCACTGGTCTGGGGGTAGCCTTGGCACTAGATTTTTAAGTTTTTCCAAGTAATGCTAATGTGCAGCAAAGCTTGACAATCCCTGTGTTAGAAGACTTTGCTTAACATTGTAAAAGTCAAGGAATTCTCTTCCTAGCTTATTTATCCCATAGGGGTTATAATTCACAAACGCTGTAAGAAAAACATTTATATTTAATAGATAATAACTACATGAGAAGTAGTCATGAATAATCTAGGTAATAGAAGGGCTGACACGGGGATACATTTCTAGTTTAGTAAATGCCGTACAAGGCCTGTAACAGCCTGATATCTGCTGACTGTAGATAATCTCATTTGTCCTCCAATAATTTCCATCATGGCTTAGAAACAGCATTGATAAAGAGCTTTTTAGTGCTATCTAAATAATTTTTTAGACGCGTAAATAATTTTTAAAGACAAACAACCCTACAGTCAGGAACTCCAGCACTATGGTGAACCCAAAATAAATGTGTACATATGCACACACATATAGTTTAACCTGAGGAATATTTTATCAATGCCTACTCAGAGGAATTTAAGACACAATCAGGAAATTAAACAAGTAACGCGTGGAACACAAAACTAATACAAACACACTCGCACATACAGAATGCAAGCTGTAAATGACACAAGGTATTCTGGATGAAGTCTTATTCATCTTCGCATTCCCAGCACCAAACATGTACCTTGCAAACAGAACATACTGCTCAATGTTATGCTGAGCATCCAATTCCCACGCCCCCTTCCAATCCATCCAACAAGCATTGACTCTGTGTGTGCCAAGTATTATGCGTTGGGTCATGTGCTGTGCTAAACACCAATGATACAAAAATGTTCAAGGTGTTGTGCCTGCTCACAAGGAGCTCACGCCAGCCAGGCAGACATATCCCCATCCCTCACCGATCCAACTTTGCCAAAACAACAAAACCAACTACAATTAAATAAGTGAAAGATTTAGAATTCAGGGTCCTGGACACAGTATTTTGCTTCTCTTTGCCAAATCTCTATTCCAAAAAACTGAAGTGAAAACTGCCCGTCAACAGACAGCAGATGGTAGAGAAGCTAAAGGACTACACGGGTTTACCTCCCGTTGTCATAAATTATTCAGGTCAGGCAGCCTGTTGTTTCTGAGCCAAGAAAGTACCAGCTTCATGGGTGAAACTGATGGATATCAGCCTTGCCCAAGGAACCAAATTTCACCACAGCAGGTGAAACGTGGCCCACCCGCTAAAGCCTTCCCAGGTCCAAATACAAGAGCCCAGAGCAACAAGCATTTTCCTTCCCATTCCACCTTTTCCTTCTGGAAACAATGAATGCCAGAAGCATCCTCCTCAGGGCCGGAAGCTGAACGCCAAAATCTATAATTCACAGAGTTCCTGTGATTGTCCCAGGCTATTACACTCCTTAATGGAAAAGCTAACAAAAGTTATGGGCATCAGTCATTGATTCCTAAACATTGTTGACTATGTAATCTACCTTTGATTTTTTTTTTTAAACACTGGCATGTCCTCCGTTTCTGTTAACAATAGAACAAGACAAATGTCAAAGGAAGTCTAGAAGACCAATAATATGATTGGTATTAAAGGCCACAGCAGACAGGTTCTAAATGTCTCCTTCTATGTCCAAATATTCATCATCATTGAAACTCTGGGAGCAAACCATAAAATCTAAAAACCAAGGTGCATATATTTTGATGGAATCAGTGCTATGTTAATTCGATCTAATTCAACAATTGTACACAGAATGAAATAAAGGACCATTCCAAGCACTAGGATATAAATGAGAAGAACAAGACGCTCTCAAGATGCTTATAATTCAGGCATTTTCCCCCTTGGCTTTGAAATTTCCCACCTTCTCACTGGAGCAAAAAAAGCTGAAGTGGCAGCAGCAAAAGCCAGTGATATCCCATCTACTGCTGCACACCTGATTATATCAAGCAGGATTGCACCAGCCCCCAAAACTCCCCGTTGTGAGTAGGATTCCAATCTGAGCGGTGATACTTCCTGTGAGTACATGGTGCCAGGGACTGCTGCGAGGCCTGAGAGCTACACCAGTGTAATGAGACCCACTTTCTCTTCTCAAGAAGCTCCAAGTCATTTGACTACTCCCAATCTCTTAGAAAATATTATCAGTCTCAGATATGGTAAGATGAAGTATCTAAGCAAAGAGAAGCTGAGGGAAAAACACATTCCTTACCTTTAATTTCTCCAGCCCGTGCTTTTTTATAGAGTCCTTTGACGTCCCTCTGTTCACAGACATGCAGAGGCGCATCAACAAAGACTTCAAAAAAAGGTAAACTCGCACCCTCGTGTATCTGTCTTGCATTGTTGCGATCCTTAGGAAAGACAGGTACAGAAACAATAAAAAGTGCTTAGAAACAATAAAAAGTGCTTGCACGAATCAAAGATACTGCTATGAGTATCAAAGATGAGTGAACCTGCCTTTCTGTTGAAGTAGTGGAAACTATATTAGACAAAATTTAATGTATAGCTTTAAAATATAAACAAAAAAATCCAATAAATTATTAGGTTGACACACCCATTCTTCACAACAATTTTCAAAGGGATACCATTCTTAGGAAGGAAAACAATGGATGCCCCATAAAAACTTTCACCTAAATGTTAAAAGGAACTTGAGCGAGACCCCAGCTCGAATGCAGGTGTCATCGGGCCTCTCACTAATAACGGTCAACCTCAGCCTGAGCGGCATGAAGGCAGCTTCACTCGTTTATTCACTTGCCGCATGCCAACCCCTTGCAGCCACGTCTCAACTTGCGCATTCCCAAAACGGCCTCTCTGCATGCTCCTCGCCCTCAACTCCCTGGTAATCGCCTACATGGCTCAGTCTAAACTCACCCCGCCCTGTCCTCTGGAACAGCTGCCTTTGTAAGTCAACCTTTTCTTCTTTCTGGTCTTAACTAAAATCAAGCTCTCCCTTGAGGACCACTCATCTTGCCATTGTCAAGTGCAAGCTCCGTGGTCATACTCTATATGTCAAGGCGATACCACCATTTTCTGCAGCTTTCACCAGTCCACTCCCATAGAGCTCATGTTATCATTCACCACCTTTCTCACAGTCCCTCTGACAAACCATGCCAATTTCCACTCTTACCTGATGACCATACTTCTCATTTCAAAAAGAAAAACCCCAGACACACCTGCTCTCAGTCTCCTCTCTGCCACATAAATGTATTCACATCCCTAACAATCTTTACTTCCCTCCTCCTGCAGCTCCTCCCTGCAAAGATTCCAAATACCCTTCTCTCTAAAGGATCTTACTCAACCCATGATTCCGACCTCCCCTGAAGCCTTCAGCCTCTCCCTTTTCTGCTGGCTTTGCCCCGACAGCAAACAAGTATAAGTCACTCTCATCCCTTAAAAATAAACGAACTAACAAATCATACAAAAATCCACTTAATCATGAGTACAGCGCAGTCTTTACGTTACAGGACTT